GCACCTCACCTCACGCTTCGGTGCATTCATGGAAAGCCTCGAAGACTCGGAGACCGGAGGTGGGAACACCAGCCCTCTGGTGTTCGGCAGAAGTGACAGCTTTTCCGGTCCGCGGGGGTTAGGGGAGGGAGGGGTCCAGTCCGAGCTGGAGGTGCTAGCGCCGGATCCTATCCCGACCTCCCAGCGAAGCCCTCTTCCGTCGGGGCGGCTCCCTCTCGCCGACCCTCTCGCAGTGTCCCCTCCTCACAAACAAGAGCCTTGAGGAGGGAGGTTGGGACAGGGACTCAGCGGGATCGAAAGGAGACAATGCCTGCGGCGACCCCAAGGAAACGAGATTCTCTGCACTGGGGAGTGGAAACTGCGGGCTTAGAGTCGGCCGAATCTTGAAAAGAAAACCGAGTGGAAAACACCTCTTTAGGCCTGAACCAGCCTCCAGCAGGCTCCATCCTAGCTCTTGGGCACTGTGGAGGCGATGCGGGGAGCCCCAAGGACAGGACACCCAGCCCACGCGCGGTCGCGGCGCCGCACTGGCTGTCCTCCGCCCCGGGGCCGCAGTCCACCGGTGTGTGCGTGCAGCGGGGCTTCCGTGCCCTCGGAGGAGGAAAGAGAGGAGGATATTTGCATTTTGTAAAGACGCGGTTAAAAAATGACTATGCCACGTAAACAAGCCAGTTCTGACGTTTAGCACAACGTGCTACTAAAATGCCGAAATCTGCCACCAAATGGCGGCTCCTGCAGCCTGCTGCACTGATAGAAAGAGGACTCGCCCGGCATCGCCCATTTCAGGCCTCTTTCACTTCTCCGCTCTTCCTTCGACCCTTCCCACGTCATTCCTCCCTCTCCCCATTGAGGGTGCAGGCAGGACCCCCGAATCGGAGAAGCCTCTATGTCCTGAGGACCCGCAGGCGACGGCCCAGCCTACCCCCACCCGCTCCTCTACCCGGCCCCAGGACGCGAGGGAGCCCGGTCTCCCAGGGACGCATTTAGATGTAGCCTCAGTGTCCCAAGGTGTGATCCTTGCCCAGATATTGAGGTTCCTGCCGCGCAGGCACACCCCCGCCCCCAAACACAATCGACAGTCACCCTGTTCAGATTCCTGCCCAGAGGATGGGAGCGCGCTCTTCCAATTAAACTAACTCAGGGGGAGAACCCTCTCCCCTAGGCCTTTCCACACCGCCCAGGAGAGCTTTGAGAGCCTTCTGGACGGCAGCGTTATATTTGTTAATAACTTTGTTTAAAATCCATCACGCAGAAAATCAAACTCCAAGGGCACCTGGTTATTAATTGGAGGGGGAAAGGCACTGGGTTTGAAGAGGGAGGAGGACAAAGAGAGGCAACAATCGGGCTGGCTCGGGTTTAAACGCGCTTCTGTGGGCTCAGTCCTCGTGACTACTGCTTTCCCGCCTGCCTGCTCCCAGAGCCAGGGGCGCTTCGCAGGAAGGGGGGCATTCTGGGGTGCGGTGGCCGATCGCCACCGGGTCCGACTTGGGAGGATGACATTGTCCCTCCGCCTCTCCCGCCCCGCAAGGCCTGACAACCTTGCTTTCAAATTTGGCGGGATCCGAGGACGCCAAGCCCAGGGCGGCGCGAGGCGAGCGGCGCACGCGCAAAATGGCCTCCGGGTGCCCAGCGGCCTGGGCTGGCGCGACCTACCCGGCCCAGCCCGGCGGCGCGGTGTGGCGGGGAGGTCGGAGTTGCAGGTCTGAGCGCTCTCGGAAAGCTGCTAGTTGAAAAATAAGCTGAGAGGACTGTTTTCTCTTTACCGCAACCTTTGGTAAAAAGGCATCAGCGCCCCCACCCCACCAGGAAGGCTGCACTACGTGGAGAATCGAGATCATTTCCATCAGGCTGGTGTCCTGTGCTTTTTCCGCTGGGGCCTGGAACCTAAGAAACTTTTTTTTTTTTTAGATTTGGTGCTTCCCATCCTAATCACCCTCGCCCCTAGGTTTATCGTCCACGTCTCGCATTGCGCTCCTCTTGTTGGCTTTGGTGAAATATCTTACATTTTGGCGTTTTACAACTAAGACTCTGTATCTTGGACAGGCTTCTCTGTCTGCAATAACCTTTTTCCATCTCTGTAATGTCCTAATTCCTTCCATGCCAAATTTCGGCACATTTCCCAAGTACCTGGGTCTGCAGCCTTTCAATTCGACACTCAACTTGGGTTTTACCTAATGTGGGTGACAGAGAGTCGGAGATCTCAAAATCACATTCACTGTGAAATTTGGATTTTATAATGACCCAGTAATCAGAGCTAGAAGAAATATTTTCATTGAAATACAGAAAATGTTTCATTGAAACACCTGCCATTGTTTAAAGTTACTTCGGATAATCTCTGGAAGGGATTATTCTCAAGGCATGAGTCTGAAGACTGAGTGAATTAACTCATTCATTATAAGTTTTTATTGAGCGTTTACTATATTTATTTGGAGAGCTAAATGAGACTTGGGGCTGAGTTTTCCACTTGAACTTCTTCAGAAGGGTCCTAGAGTAACTTTTCCAGTGATAAATGACTTTTGATATCGTCGACCTGAAATTCTTCATGTGAGACCTCTAGAAATTGCACACTAAGAAAAAGAAACTGGTGCAAATAAAGGAAATCCGTTTCAAGAACCAAAAGAAGAAAAAAACGTTAAAAAAAAATTAACTGCGGAAACAGGAAACACTCGACTGTGTAAACATTTTCGCAGACTTTCATAATCAAAACTGGGCGATCTTTAGATTTACCGGGAGATGGGCTGGCTCCAAGTCTTTACGGAGGTATTTCCCAAGTTTCATTTACTGGAAGGCAGGAATGTGTTAAGTTCCTCTTTCATGTAAAGAAGCCGTCTCTCTGAATTCTGGGGTCCCGATTTAGTTCAAGGGCTTTTTTGGTGGGGGGGGGCGACCTGAGAAATTTTCACCTGTTGTAGTGTTCATTTCATACATGAAGAAACATCCTCAAGTGGAAGAACGTATCTAATCCAAGAGCTTTATGTTGGGGCTGGGTTTACTGCTTTTTTGGCCACATTAGATGTCTCAAAGGCGTATATATGAGTTTTGAAAGGGTTTAATCAGTATACTATAAGAAGCACATCTGAAATAGTACAAGTCTAGTCATTTTTAATTTAATTTGATCAAGACCTTTTTGTTTTGGATAAAATCCGAGAAAGCTTGTGTGGGGAAAGCAGCCATAGTATTTTTGAAAATACTATGGAGCCCCCATTTTAAATCAGAATTTTCAACTGTTATTCCTGGTGCAATGGAAAGAAAAAGATTGAGACATTAATGAACATTTAAAATATAAAAAGGAATTTAAAAAAAGAATACTTGCTTAACTCCAGGATTTTAAGAGAGACTGGGTTCCATGTGCAGATTCTTTTTAAAATTAAGGTCCTATCCCCTCAAAAGATACCAATAAGCTATTTTAAAAGACCAAACGTCTTCATTTCATGTTGGTCAATGCAAGTAGCATTTTACAGGGGTATTTAAGTTCTTATTAAGTTTTCATAACAAAACTTTCTTTTGATAGGCCTCTACAGTGAGCATACGGAGAGGCTTTACAAATAATTTCCACCCCAAAAACTGGAGAAAGAGGAAAGAATGAAGGAAAAATTCCTACCAACTTTTCCTGCCTGTAGCATATGACCTCCAGAGTTCCTGACATTTGCACATATGGATATGGAAACGAAGCAATCAGGTTGGCAGGTTAAGTCAACTGAAGAGCAACTTTTTCCTCCAGTTCCTAGCAATTAACGGCAGGCAATTTTAAAAGCAAAAAAGTACTCTTAACGTGGTTTGCATGTGTAAAGGAAGACGGATCACTATTTACACAACAGCAATCAGTCTCATTTTTCTTTTTTTACATTTAAGCTAAAAATCTGTGAAATCAATTTAGCCATTTTCTGTGAAGTATTTTATTAGCATTAAGTTTGTGTTACAGGATCCTAGAATATTTTCAGAAACAGAAGTCAAACTTAAGGCCAACTTTTCATGTACCCTACTTAACTAAAAGCTACAAAGTTAGGAGCTATGCCATGGGCTTTCCTTAGGTTGAAATTTCTAAAAGTGGTTCTTGAGCAAAAGTTTAAATCTTAATTGGCAGAACTGTAATAGCTGGTCACTTAAGAATGTAAAACATAATCTTTCCTGTTTTGTTAAAAAAAATGAAGAAATTTTAGTTGAAATACCCTTTTAAGTATTTAAAAATTTAATTGAAATACCCTTTAAGCTTAAATAGTATTCAAATGGGGAGAGGAAAAATCTTTGCAATAAATGGAAGGAAACGTGGTAATATAGTGCTAAGTAAGCCATACATAAATGTTTTATCTGATTTTTTTAATAAGTAATTTCAAAAGTCCATCATAAAGAAGTTGAGATGTAGTTTAATCTTCAAGTTCCATGTTCATCTTATAACTTGGTTTTGTGTAAGTCAAATGACAGTCCATTAGCATTTAAAGTATTTCACCTTTGAAAAGTTTTTCATTTTTCATACAAATGATCATCCAAAGTAAAAAATATCACTTGAAACCTCCATTAACTTTTGTTCTAAACATCATGAAAAACTTGAGAAGAAAAGCCTAGAAAAACGAGTTAAATTCACCAAAATTGGCAAACATTGGTAACTTTTACTTCAAAGGTTGTAAATAAACAGATACATCTTTCAACAGGCTTTCAAGCAATTATACAACAAAGCATGTACTTCTTAGCAACATCACTATAAGACAGCAATGTATTCTCTTTCACTTTTACCTGTTGTAATCCACTATAGGGTTTCCAAAACTTCTGCACATTGTGCTTTTCATATCAAATTTTTATTAAACGTCTTAGCTGTTTTCTAAATGAATATCCTTTTTATTGGATTTTTCCAATTACAAATGAAATTTCATTTTACATCTATAATTAGAAACAACACTTACAATGGGACTGTACAAATTTAGGTCAAAATAAAAATATATGTATTTTGTGGCTTCATAAAACATCCTTTACTGTATTTTTAAAGAAAGCAGAAATAACAGCAATATATGTAAAAGTAATGATTTAATGACTATAAGCAAGACAAAGCAATAGAATTGTGCTTCTTTTGCGACTGGGGACAATGAAATGTTTAGCTACAATTTTCCCATAAAAACATGAAACAATATTCATATAGAATAAACACCCTCACAAATAACTGATGGGTGATGAACAAACATACACCAAGTTCGACCAACGCAAAACAGAAACTGAAAATTGGGATTATTCATATTTTAAATTCAACATGCTTGGTTGGCTTTATCTAAAAATACCTGTAGAAGCTCATCATAAATTGCTTCTATTTCAGGACATTACAGAGAAGGCATTATTCCATTGCTAGTGATTAAAGCAACTCTTAAATTCGAAATTACTGCTATGCCACATATTAAAATAACTCTAGATAAAATGCCCTCTTTCAGAAATTTGGTTTATTAAAAAATTTGTTTTAGAATTAGTGATCAATATTCATTTTAAAAATACATTAATCCCTCATAACCAATGGAAAATTAAGATGCTATTTCCATATTTCTTAGTTATAATTTTTCTTTACTGCAATACATTTTAAAAGTAAACGTGTGTAACTGGGAAAAAAGTCAGTATTGCAGTGATTTGCCAATTGCTTCCAATGGAATAGAATTTAGAGTTAGATAGCCACATTAAAAATATTCTATGCTGGTAAGCAAGGCTCAACATTAGGTTATGGGTATCTGCAAAGGTCGAACCAGTTGAGAGAATTTTAACAATCATTTCTGAATGCATGAAACACAATATTTTCTTTATAGTATTTATAAATATATCATACAATACTGTTTCCTGTTATGTCATATACCAATATGGCATTGTACAACAAGCATAATGCCATCTGATTCTTACAAAAACGAATCATTTAAACAAGTCAGTAAAATAAACGGTAGTACCCGCTTTTAGGCATACAGAATGTAAAACTGAAGTTTACTTTCCTTTGATCGGTTTTGGGTAGCAACAGAGAAGTAAAAATCAAACAGGAATCAAAATGCCTAAGTATGCAAGAAGTTGTTATTCACAGTGACATGGCTACATAGAATGCATTATTCTATGCATATTCTTTCAGTTTGTTGAATTTCAAGATAAAAAGCACTTGTTTTCTACAGGTTCACAAAACAGCATAACAAGGAACAATGAAGAAGAATGTAATGTAGGCGTTAGTTGAGTTTAACAAACTATGGCCCAATGCTTACATCCAATGCAGAATTATTTCCAAATCCAAACAATGGTAACAGAAACCATTTCACATCTTTCCTAACACACAAAAAAAATCTTGCCTGCCTTCCCAGAAACCAATTCTTTATAGCAACAATCTTTCTTTTCAGTTAATGTCCATGAGTATCACATCTAGTCCATTCTTATAGCCAAATTTAACGTCACTACAAAAGAAAGCAAATTGGACAAGAGTCACATGTATTAGCATCTATAAAGCTGTAATGGCATGAAGATATCTATATAAATCAGGAGTTTAAAATGTATTTCCTTAACAGTCTCAGGTATCAACCAGAAGAAGTTGCTGATGACCCATTTACGGATGATTTTCGAGGTCTATTGGCAAAGGAAGATTGGTGGTTACCGCTGGGGCTGTTGCTGGTTCCATTCATAGTACTGGAAATGTGAGGAAACTGTGGGTGAGGAGACTGCACTGGAGTACTGGGGCTGGGCAAACAAGAAGAGGTGGAGGGGATACCTCCTGCTGGGCTGTTGGCCTTGTCACTCCCAGAGTCACTTTCCAGTTCTCCAGCATTTGTCAGTCCATCTCTCTGGTGACTGATCTTCATTCTTTTACAAGTAGGTCGAACTCTGTATTTCAAAGGAAGGGGACCATTCTACAAAGTTAAAAGGGAGAAAAAAAAAATCACTCTAAGTCTTTAACTATAGTTTACCACCATAATCTAACAGTAGATGTTACTTACCCTTCTCCAGGTATAAATGTAGGCAATATCCATTAGTGTATAGTAATCCTTTAAAGGTTCCTCTTCATACATGACATCAATCTATTGAAAAAATACTTCAATTACTAAGTAGCATAAGAACAAAAGCAAAACTATAGTTTTTTGTCATCTGAAAGAATCCAAAAGTGCTTTTAAAAGCATATTCTCCAAACATTTCAACAAAGAAAGACCCCTTCTTAAGACTTCCAATGAGAAAAAATACAGGGTGTTCATAAAGTTTGTGTGCAATTTCACTATTGTAAGTTGTACAGGAACTTTATGGCCACTCTGTATTTCTAGAAATTGTTAAGGGATCTGTTTTAATAGCATAAAAGAAATCCATACCAAATGTTTCTAGAGATATTTTGATGTTAATTTTAAATTTAATTGCTTATTTTGAGTTCAGAATCCAAAAAAAATTAAATTTTAAAAATCTATATAAAATACATGAAGACTATAAAAGTAGATACCTGGAAAGTATTTGGTATGTCCATTTTACTTCTGAGAAACTTTCTTAAGTGCATCACAGTCATTGCTGCTGGGCATCGTAAATATCTTTTATCGTTCACCTAAGAGTACATTTAGGAAAGTAATTTTTCCCCAATTCCTAACTTAAGAAAAATTTCAATTTGATTCCCTGAATATGAGAAAAGGTACTAATACCAAACAATACTGGCTATGACTAAATTCACAACTATGCTTTGAGTTTACTATTGTTACAAATACTAAATCGACAGATTCCTAATAAGGAAATTTTCAGTATACCAAAGTATTACATACTAACCATTTAAAATATAAGAATAGCAAGCATATATAAAATAAATTTTAATTATTAAATATCACATGTAGATCACTCTTAAACATCAAAGACAATAATTTTTTTCTATTTAAGGGAAATATAACCCCTGATAAAATCTAGAATTCAAACAATGTTTCTTCTATATTGTTTCTGCAACATGGAACATACCTCCTCCTTAGATTTCTCTTTATCTTTGTTTACTTTCCGATCCAATCTAAGAAACAAAAGTTATTAGTGAAACAATGTATCTAGTAAACATATTAGCATAAAACAGATTTTCTAGAGAATCTACCTGTTCTGGTCGAAAAATTCAATGGATAAGCTTATTATCTCATCATCAGTTATAATTCTCTTATCTTCATCTGCAACCTCTCCTCTATCTTCATTAGAGCCATTGGCAGCTAAAAAGACATTTTAAAATTCAATTTTAAAAATTAAACATCAAAATATTTTATGTATAAGAGAATGGAAATGGTACTTTAAATTCAATTTGGATAAATTTCAATTAATGTATAAGTTCTCCTCCAAATAAAATACACCCTACCCCCCCACCAAAAGTTTACCATCAGCTGAAGGATGAGCTGCATAAAAATCTCTTCTTCTCTTCATTTCATCTGAAGGGAAATTTAAAAAAATGTAAATATTTGGCAAAGCAGAATAAAGAAATGAATAAACTCTAAGTTCATTTTTAAAGCAAGTTACTCACTTTTGAAAAGCCCTGGAACTAATTTGTATACAATATCTTGAAGAGTTTTATCTGACCTGAAAAATAATTAAAATAGTAAACTATTAACAAATATGGCAAAAACTAAAAATGTTCATACATTTTTACAGTTCATTTTTTACTTGACTGTGATACTATCTACAATTATAATAAGCTAAAAGTATGAGAATAAAAATTATAGCACTCCTTTAATCAGTAGGAAAATTATTTCATATTCATTACTACATTCTTCACATTCACCCATTCAAAAGAAGTGTGCCTTTCAAGTTACTAAATTAGCTAATATAAATAGAAAATAAAAAGAGAGAATGAAATCCCTTTGAACATTTCTTGCATGTCATGAAGTCTATAAAGCAATGCAAAAATGGAAAATTAATTTAATTTTTAAAGGAATGTTAGGGAAAAAAAATCTTAACATCACTTGAACGTTACTGAACTTTGCCTAAACTTGGTCACTAATGTTGCAAGAAGTTAAAGGCATACTCTTCACGTACACATTATGTGGGGATTCGGGGGTAAATTTTCTGTCAAGAAATAAAGAAGGTAGCCTACAGTACATTATGCAACTCCAATAACAATTACAAAGAATTCAAATAATTTCCCACCTTATATTCAACAGTGGTCTTGTTTTGTGAACTTGGACATCACAAATGGGACAATACTTGCTGGTCTCCAGGTAACGAACAATACACGTTTTACAGACTAGAAAAAGAAAAAGGGGGAGTTTTTCTAAGTTTAGAAATTAGAGGCTAAAGCAGTAAAATTAGTGTCAGAAACTAAGAACTAGTAGAGAAGCAAGATAGTAAATGCCAAAGGTGCTTCCAATTAAATAAACTAATTCAATTAATATCCTGAGAATACACATACATTGCAGGCTTGTAATAAAACACATATTAAGAAAAAGTCATTAAATGCAAAAGCAGCAGATGACTCCACCACTATGCATCAACATTCCCCCAAACTGCAGAAATTGTTAATAGTTTTCAAATTTCAGGACAAACTGTGAAATACACATGACACAAAAGAGAGCTACCCTGTGGTACTTACAGGAATGTAGACATTCTATTATGGTGGTGGCATCGATGAAGTAGCCTCCACAAAGCACACACATTAGGTGGGGATTTAGCTCAGTGATCTTGATTCTGGTTGTTCGATGCATTTCTGCTTGATAAAAGATCCTGCAAGACACAGAAATATTGGCCATAATTCACAGAATGAGAATGGAGATTATCTCCTAGTAGCTGTACACTCTGAAACAGAGTTCATAAAACTCGTTTAACACTGAACAGCTGGAGTGCTCAGCGTTTTCTACAGAAAGAGTTTACTGATCAGACCTGAATCAATTCCATATAATTGGTGAAAAGAGATCCAACTAGCCTTACTTCTGGTCTCTCAGGTCATTCCTAGAGAGAGAAGAAAAGGTCTGCGGTGGGGGCTGGGAGCTAAGCGCATTCGGGTCTCTTTCTTCCATTTGTCCTTCAGCCTAGCAGCCCCACGGCTGCTACAAACGCCACATAGTCCCCGCAGATATTTACCAACCACTAGGGCTTGTTCTAGGTCTCTGATTTTTTTTTGTAAAACTTCCTTACAAATCTTCTAACGAAAATCCCGAGGGTTCTTGTTGTGTTGGACGGTTCCAGCAACCAGAACCTGGCATGTTTCTACGCGATACACAGGGAAAACAATTCTGCTCTATCTGCAACCCTGGCATTTCCGGAGCTGGGTGCTGAGGCGGCCGCGGCACCTCCAGCCGGCCTCGGGCTGGGGCCTGAGCGCGGCGGACGCCCGGGGGCCGGGATGCGAGGGGCGGATCCGGCGGCGCCCGAGGCTCCGTCTCGTTCCGGATTCGGAACTCGCCTCAGTCAGGGTTTCCATAGCAACTTACACTTACACTTGGCATCCGGCCACCGCTACAACTCCGCGCGGAGCCCGGCCCGAGCCC